AACCGACGTGCATCTGCATCTGTTTATGAACTTTCCCTTAAGGCGTGGGCGATTTCGCTTTGTTGGATGTGTAGCAGTTTTTCTTTCATTAAGAAATAACACATCAGATGTTTTAGAAAGAAACTGGGCAAGTCATTAGATCTAATGACTATCCATCCTCCTTGCTTAAGCATATTCTAGCATCCTGGGAAATCGCTGTACCTCTCGGCGCCTGTCACCTTGAATAAGGACAGTGTTCCCACGTACCTGTTTCTTATAAATGGGGGGTGGGGAGGGGGAGGGACAATGAGATCATGTCTATAAAGGGCTGAGTGCCTGCAGAATGAAAGCTCTCAATACATCTGTATAAACGCTCTTACTGAGACCTGCTTTTACTCTTGACAAACATGGGTGCTGTTTCAAACCAAAGCTCTACTTCTAGAAGAGAGGCAACGAAGACTGCAGTGGTGCAGCACTTTGTCCACGGGGCACCCCTCTATGAGAACAGACGCCAGGAATGCCAAGGTGGGCAAAAGTCACAGTGCCAGTCAGTACTGGTGCAGCTCCCCTCGAGGGTGGCCCGGCTGCTCAGAGACCAGCACGGACAGGCTGCGGCACTGCCTCCGGGGCCACTCCCAAGTCCCCGGGATTCCACCAGCTCGCAGGGCCGATGGACTGGGTTGCGTAGAAGAACGGGGTTCCAGCAGTGGAAGCCGTAAGCCTGTCAGCAATGGTGAGGGGAGTGGAAGACATTCCTTCTATAAAAGCGCACACGGTTCTTTCTAAGGTACGTTCTCCTCGCTGCCTCCATCTGAGATCCAGTCACCTTAACATCGCGTGTGACCACAGCTTTGAGGAGGGCAGTATTTCCTCTGCTGGGGACCCCGGGAACCTTCGGGAGGAATGCGGCAGCCTGAACCCCTGAAGAAAGGCACCAGGGTCCCCTAAACTGCAATCACCCAGCACCCGCACGCCGCTGCTTCGAGGCTGCTCGCTCCCGCTTGTCTTCCTGACGGGGGTTTATCACAGGCACCCGTGGCCCGGGCTCCCGGTCTCGACCTCTGCGACCCAGACATTTGAGAAATAGGACCTTATCTCCACAGGCCATTTAGAAAGTTAGTAAATAACCAACCTATTCTCTAACAAGCCGGACAATGATAAACATGCAGACAGATAACAACCAACGGCTGGTATGCAGTAGAGTCAGAAAACAGGTATCTGAAATTTAGAAAAATGTTGGTAAAACAAGACAGGCCAAAAAAAAACCCTAGTGTTTTCCTACTCCACTGAGATGTGTCATCCATCTGTTTACTACAACTTGACACATACGCCAGAACCGTACAGTTAGACGCAGGGGTGGGCAATGTCTGGCCCGAGGGCCACGTAAGGCCTGAGAAATCATTTGGTCTGGCCCTGCCAAGGCATTAGGGGTGAGTTGATTAAATGTTTGACCAGATATAGCAGGCTAATTTTTAAGTTGATAATTTGGTATGGCCCACACATACAAATGTGTGGTCCTTGACAGGAAAAGGGTTCCCCACTCCTAAATTAGAGAAATAACACTCACAAGGGACACTGAATTTGCTGTCACAGTGTCCACGAGTAACCAATGACATATGAATGCAAGTAATTGAAAAGATTCATCTCACAAGGGTTTGGCAGTTCCTCCAAGTTCAAGGACGCCAGTTAGTTGTGGCAGCCCTGAAAGTCTTTTGCAAGTTATGTGGCTTATTATCTTATATAATAAGAGCCTAATATGCAAATCGACCAAACGGCGGAATGACCAGTCACTATGACAAGCACTGACCTCTAGGGGGCAGACACTCAATGCAGGAGCTGCCCCCAGCCTGCAGGCCCGGGGCTGGTAAACAGGTGGTGCCAGGCAAGCCAAAGTGGGTCCCAGTGGCCACCCCAGACACCTGCGGGCGCCCCACAGATTGGCCCTAATCATCGGCCAAGCCTAGGGACCTTACCTGTGCACTGAGCCTCTAGTAATGAATAAAAAGCTACCTTTTTGTTTTTTACTCAGAATGCAAGCGAGGAAAAAAAAAAAATGTTCCTCACTTTATGCCAGAGAAAAAAATGTCCTACAAGTTATATGTGTCAAACCCAAAGAAAAGAATTCAAGTGTGTGACTTAGCAACAGGAACATTTCTACAAGACAGAGGCTAGCCACGCAACGATGGCTTGTTGGGCTGGCACAGAGCTAAATATCTGCTGATGGCATTGCCACTTACCTTCAGTGTCCCAGCACCTCACCATCTCTGGGGATAGTTTTGTTCAGCCTCAAAACCAGCATGACTTTTCCATTCACTTAAAAGAAAAGGCAGGAGCTACTGGAGTCTTGTGGAGGCAAGTATAAAATATTTTTACTCCATAAAATGAGTCACTGCAATACATGCTAATAAGAAGCAAGTGCTTCTATTACTTGAGGTAAGATCTTAAAAAACCTCTTAAGGTTTTTATCTTCTTCAGATAATTGCAAAGTCCAAGATCAGAATAAAACCACTGTTCCTACTTAGGAAGATAAAAGGCACGACCACCCACTGCCTTTGATAGACTGCTCTTTGATCAAAGTCCTACACGAGGAGTAGTAAATTCTTTATATAGTACTTATCTTCCTAGGAAGCAAGATTTTGGTACCATTTCGTCTTACAAGAGAGGATAAAGTGTCATGCAACAAACACCCACTTTTTGAAGCTAACAGTGTTTTTGCATCAAGATAAAACTTCATTTCCTTAGCTCAGAGAAGCAGGGGAGAGAGAGAGAAAGGTTTTCTCCGGGCAATCCAACCGTCTCAACTTTCAGCTGAAGCCCATTATCACATCATTACTACACAGACCTCTCCTTTATGTCACTTATTTATGTATTCGCTCGACTGAACTTTCTCCAGTAAAGATTTGAGGAGAAGCCAGATTTTGAATCCATGCAATCAACATTTAGAAGGTGCCTGACAAAACAAGACACTGCTAAGCAAAGCGCCTTGACACGCGGCGTCCAAATCAAACCCAGCACTGCTCTTTCTGAGGCCGCGTTCCTACAGCCCAGAAAGGAACACTCTGCCGCACAGATGAGAACAGCCTGCACCCCAAGGTCTTCTCCTTTGTGTCCTTTCGTAGCGTTTCCTTCTTTTCTCTCAGAACAGTATTGGGATTTTGGCAGCCTCTGGTGTAGGGATTCAACAGGAGGCGTTGAGGTATGGGAACTGGCTTGCTCTCTGCCTGCACCTACTTATTTCCGAACTCTTCAGGAAAAGGAGCGGGTGCTAGCTGTTACACACTCTTCAACAAGACACGCCAAACACCCCCGTACGATGTTCCTTCGAGGGCTTTACTGTACCCTCGTAGATGTCATCGTGTGTATCCGCATAGATTTTCTATTTAAAAGTCGCGGAGGGCTGCACGTCATCATTGTGACATAAAGGGAAGACAGGTTGGAGATGATATGCAGATAGAGAAACTGAGGATCCCCGTCACCCCTCTGAGAGCACTGCTGGCCGGGGTCAGACCAGGCACCATCATTTCTTCCCTAGATTGCACATGGCCTCCCTTATTTGCATCACCAGCATAAACACAACTACACGGACCCCCTTCCAATCAATCACCACCTCACTGTAAACTAGTTCTGTTCGATAGTTCAAAAACACTGTATGTACTTAATCACCAAGCCCCTCCACCTCTATTGTAAGACTGATCTGAAATATTAAGATACAGAGGAACCTCGTTTCTCAAACTCAAGTTCACTCTGGAAGGCTGTTTGAGAAGCGAATTGTTCAAGAACCAAATCCCTTTTCTCCGTTAGAAATAATGTAAATGGAATTAATCTGTCCCAGACTCCTAAATGATTCCCTGTTTTAACCTTTCTTATATACAGTGCATGTCTCATGTACTGTTTAATACTTAAATAAACACTTCTTAAATTTATGGAACTACCCCCTGTGAGCATTTAAAGGGATTTTTTCATATGTCGCTGCCTTCGAAGCACTGTCACTGCCTAACTGCTCTCCTTTATCCCATCAGCAACAGTTTTTCTACCCAAACAACTGTCTGGGATTGTTGTTTTGTGAGCACTTCCACATCCTTAGCAACCTTAGCATTCTTGATGGCCTCTTTGTGTTTTAAAATGGTGCTAATTGTGGATTTTGCCAGCAACAAAAGCATTCTCTCCTTTATTTGTTGCCAGAGAGACGCTTTTTTGTCATGCTGAGGTCTATTAATATGAAAGGGTTGTCAGGTGGAAAACCAAAGTTTTGGTCAATAACCGAGACATTTTCTTCCTGTGAACAACTTGGTCAAGAACCAAACTGCTGGCGATAGGAGACATTTGAGAAGAACCGATGTTGACTGTACATACTTTGGTGGTATGAGCATGGATGTGGAGTCAGACAGGCACTTCAAATCTCCACGTGGTGTCTGTGTGACCCTGGCAAGCTGTTTAACTACTAGAACCCTTCATACATCTTAGAAGTGTTTCAAGTGAGGGAACCTAAGTGAACTGCGCTAGGCTCAGGAAGTGGTAGCTGATGCTACTGCCATCAAATTTAAAAGCACTGCTTAGCCGAAACCGGTTTGGATCCGTGGATAGAGCGTCAGCCTGTGGACTGAAAGGTCCCAGGTTCGATTCCGGTCAGGGACATGTACCTTGGTTGCGGGCACATCCCCAGTAGGAGGTGTGCAGGAGACAGCTGATTGATGTTTCTTTCTTATCGATGTTTCTAACTCTCTATCCCTCTCCCTTCTTCTCTGTAAAAAAAAAAAAAATCAATAAAATATATATATATATTTTTTTAAAAAGCTCTGTTAGATGTGGTTAGCTCCTGAGAATACCCTCCTGTTATCGAATGCAGAAGAAAGTGTTGCTCTTAGTCAGGGTAAGAACAGCTCAGGGAAGCTGCGATGAGAATCTAAACATCGGAAGAAGGTAAGTATGTGGAAAGGTCACCGCGGTACCCCTGGGGGCTGCAGGTGAAGGGGTGCATGGGGAAGGGGCCGGTGGGAGGGGAGAGGGGAGCTGTCACTCACGCGGGGGTGACGCCCTTGGGCAGGCCCAGGGCGTTGACGGCGACGGGCGGCGGCTGCGAGGGCAGCATGGAGCTCAGGAAGGCGGCGGGCGAGTGGCCGGGGCCGAAGCGGGCGGCGGGGGAGGCGCCGTGGGCCGCGCTGGGCAGCGGCGGCGGCGGCGGCGGCAGCGGGAACACGTCGGGGCCCGGGAAGGCCGCGCCGGGACTGAAGGCCGGGGGCGGCGGCGGCGGGGGCGACGGCGAGGTCGGGCTCCAGGGGCCCTCGGCGTCGGGGCCGAAGGGCTGCGCGAAGGGGGGCGCGGGCGCGCGGCCGAAGGGCTTCGGGGTGGGGGACAGGGGCGACGGGAGGCTGGAGGAGCTGGGGCTGGAGGCCGGCGTGCCCTGGCCGGACGCGGGGCCCAGGTTCTGGGCGGCGATGAACTGCTTGGGGCGCGCGTAGTTGAAGGAGCCGGAGGACTGCATGGCGGGCGCGGCGCGCGGGGCCAGCGCGCTCATGGGCTCCGGGGCGGCGGGCGGCGCGCGGGCCGCGGGCGCGGGCAGGGCGGGCGGCGGCGGTGGCGGAGGCGGAGGCGAGGGCGGCGCGCTGCGCGGGGAGCCGGCCGCCCGGCTGGCCTCCTGCTCCAGGCGGATCTGGTTCTGCAGCTGCTGGAGCTTCAGAGGGTCCCTGGGGAGAGAGACAGAGGGACACCTTAACGCTAGAAGGACACTTAGGAGCACCTCAGAAGAGACCAGCCATCGCGGTTATGCTGAGAAGCAAATGCATCCGTCTATAGTGCGGGGTGGGAATGGGGTGTGAGGTCAATTATGTGAGACCATGATCAATAAAAAATAAACTAAAACAGATTTTTAAAAAGTGACGCCTTGAGAGGGGCGGAGAAGGAAGGGCCCTCGGGTGCAGCGGGGGGTCAGGCTGTGAGCAGGCAGCTCCCCTGCCCGCCGGCTCCAGGCTGCACCCGGAGAGCGAGCGAGGCCCAGTTATCCATCAGCCTGGAGGCAACCCCGTGTGACCTGCGAGCTCAGGGTCTGATTTGAGTTTCACCCAGTGACTCCGATCAGTTTATACAAATCATGATGGAGATTCCGCCCGACTTCCAAGAGCCGTGTTTTTCATTTTCATGGAACTCAAGTTACTTAAAGAAAAACGTTTGACATGAGTCTCCGTCCTCTCATGTGTAGCCAATGTTCAGAATAAGAATTTTATCAGAATGAGAAAATGAAAAGGAAAAAAAAAAACCCCAACTGGATACGAGTTGTTTTTGGCAGACTTAGGTTAGTCCATTTTGCCTACTCCATGCTGTCAACTCTGCCTTGGATGAATACCACAGGCTGATTTGAGAGGTTAGATCCACTGCAATTTCTACATTTGTCCCCTAAAAAAACGTGCAAAACTTGCCATGCCTGAAATATTAGTAATCTGAAATGCCAGTTTTTATACAAACCTTAATATGGATAAAAAAAAAATATTAGCTATTTTGTGCCATATCTAAAACATATGCAAATAATATCTATTTTTTTAAATGTAGGTGTTTAATAAGGAATAACAAATTATTAATTTTATAATGCAGTTTTAATTCCCCAAGTATTTTCCACCACCAAGAAGAGATTGAATTTTTGTTTTTTAATTAAAATTTTAAATTAAGGTTAGCAGTTAGTTATATTTTACTCAGAAGCTTTCCTTTTAACTGAAATATATATATATATATATATATATATATATATATATATATATATATATATATATAATGGCTGTCAAAACGAACTTCAACAGAAGGTGGCACTATAACAAGCAGATAAAACAGGCCCCATATTCATCCCGCAAATAGGGGAAAAGCTATGTTCCCAACTTTAAACCCTTTCTTTGGAGAGAAAAGGAAGGGAGAGGGAGAAGGAGAGAAACATCGATGTGAGAGTGAAACATGTAAGAGCTGCCTCCTGCATGCCCCCTACAGGGGATTGAGCCCTCCACCCAGGAATGTGCCCTGACCAGGAATCAAATCCACAACCTTTTGGTACACTGGACCAATTGAGCCACACTAAAACCCCAAAACTCAAAATCTTCCTCATCCATAGGTATTTCATCTTTAAAAATCAAGCTTTTATACACCCAAAGCAATATCAGATATTGAAGCTGCTGGTAAAGGTATAAAACAAGATTTAAAAGACTTGCTATTAAGCATCCTTCGCTGTGGGAACATCAGCAAAAAAATGTCCTATTTGCCTTCCTTTGTTGGCTCTTCGCTTCTGTAATCACCCAGGAAAGTGATTCCTGGGTGATTACACATTTTGGGGAACTAGAAATTATAAAGAGAAGATGATTCCACAGGCTTAATAATGTGCAGAGCTTCCAAGGTTCCAACACCAAAGAGCTCTGTGGGCCCCGCGGAACGTATGCTCAGCATTTTACAAGCATCCCTGCCACTGCCGGAATCCTCCAGGACACCCAAGTCCGATGTCTGTGTGGTTGGGGTTAGGCTGTCTAGCACATGTGCTCCTTGCTCCTGTGTTTAGAACTGGCCCAGGAATAGAACTCATAAAAACCATCCGCCAGCAGTGCTGTCATTCTGAATCCCCAAACACTCCTTTCCGGCCGCCCTGCCTTTACCCTCTCATTTTCTAGCGGTGGCTAACTGCATCCCATTACTGGAATGTTCTTCATCAGCATTCACCTGCCCTGTGCACCTGGCCTGGGCGTGGGTCCTCTTCTCCTCAAAGCCACAGTGCCCCTCCCCTGGGCCAGCCTGCATTTTGAGGGACTTGAAGCTTGGCCTGACATCAGCACATCTCTGTGTAGCGGCTCTGGCATGGCTGCTGCACACATCACGTCATACCTTGTGTGTGGTGTGGTGTGATGGGTCCTCTACCCAGGGTGAGGGAGTAGCTCCGGAGAAGCCAGGCTTCAAAGAAGCCAGAGCAGCAAAGCCCAAACCACCACCGTGCCGGTTCTAACGTTCTGTACAGGCTCCAGCCTACTCATGCCGGCATTAAAGGGAACCACCAGTTTGTGAAGCCAAGTGGGCTCAAAGCTGCTGAGATGCTGCTTTTAGTCGTAAGCGACCGTTCCAGAAAGTATTAGTGCAGCATTTCACAAGAAACGAGTAGGCATTCTAGTATTTTGGCTGCCAGTGTACACTGCAATGAGGAACTCTGCTGGGGTTCCATTCTCCCCCGTTTTGCACTGGGTGAGGAAGACAATACTCAGGGAATTTGAGGGGTGGGGGAAGGGAGAACAATCTCCAAGGGTCTCACTTGATTTCTGTGCAAATCATCATTTAAAAAAATGTGTGAATTAAGTGAATCTGACACCTGGATTCTGAGGTGATGAAATGCCCAGTTCTAAGTCATTTTCTTAGTCCTCATTAAGTTTAAAAAAAAATACACACATACACACACACACACATACACACACACAAACACACACACACACACACACACACACACATTGAGAAGAGAGAAAGGAAGAGGGAAAGAGAGAGAAAAACATCAATGCTGAGAAAAAATCGTTGATCAGCTACCTCTTGCATGCTCCACACTGGGGATGGAACCAGCAAACTGGGCATGTGCCCTGACTGGGAATCAAACTCTGACCTCCTAGTTCATAGGTCAATGTTCAACCACTGAGCCACATCAGCCAGGCAAGTTTTTGTTTTGTGTTTTTTAAAATAAAAATCGATTTTACCAAGATAAAAAGGCAAAAGAAATGAGAGGTACCAGAAAGGGAAGATTACCCGTGGCCTTTGGAAATTACTTAAAAGTTATTTATTATAAAAATTCATCACTTTTCTGGTTTCCCCATTTTTTTTCAGCAACCCTTTTCTCCGAAAATGAAATAAAATGACACTGAATTGAACCTCTTGGAAAAACTGGGTAAAGGTTGAACATCTAGATGAAAAGTTCTAGACAGCACTAGTTGCAGCTATAGTTTGAGTGTCAAAGTTCAAGTCTTCTGTTTGGCATACCTACTCCCATCAAACCCCACCCAGCTTTTCCCCTTCTCCCAACCACACCCTCAATTCAAAAGGACAAAGCTTTAAAGGCCCTACTCCAACCCCTCCTTCCATTGTAAAGTTTAAAATACTTAAGGAAATGAGATGTTTGGGGTTTTTTGTCGTGTACCTGTCACAGTCCCTTTACAAATGGGAAAGGAATGTTACTAGTAAGTAACTTGCCTAAGGTCAGGAGCATTACCTGCCTAAGCCAGGTTAGACCAGTCTGTCCCTGGCCCCTTTCCCTACGCCAGACATGTCCACACCACAGACCCTGACCTGGCACTACACTTTTAGAGGGGAGCACCTCATAAGTTACATAAATGACCAACCACTATGCTGTACACCTGAAATCATATAACACTGAATGCCAGCTGTAATTGGAAAACATTTTTTTTAACGAGAGTGAAAAAGAACCCAGACCTCCAACATGATTTTTTTTAGAAGTCTGTGGTCATCTTTGCCTCCTAAGGATTTAACTCTTATGCAGCCTTAGGGCCTTTAGGGTCTGGGTCATCAGTCAAGATTTATGGTATTTACATATTTAAGAATATATTCAAGAATACCTGGCTTCAAATTTAATTTTTTTTTAAAGGGTGAAATGGGACCACCATGAGAGAGGACCTTGGCAGCCCAGGAAAGGAAGATGTAAACACTAGCTCAGGGGATTCTACATTACAGACAATCAAGCCCCTGCTCCCCCGCAATGGTTTGGGCACAGGTTTTACAAAGAGTTTTACAGATTGTCGAATGAGGCAACGTTTCAGGTTTGACAGACAGATGCAGAACGCAGTTTACTTTCCAATTCAGTCACCTCTGGAGACAGTGCTGGCCAGCAGCATGGGGTAGCGGGAGAAACAGGCGCCTGGCAGTTGGTGGTACTGGCCTGGAACTCGGCTCCTCACTGCAGGGTGACGGAGGGTCAGTGAGCACAGGGCCTGGGGCACTGTAGGGGCTCAATAAATGTCCCCAGCACAAGAGACAACCCACCCATCCTGGTTACTCTGCAAAACAGGAGGTTTGGCAATGGAGATAATGTTCTCCTCATTGCAGGGAGCTCTCCTCCTCGGAGCCCCCTGCCAGGAGCGGGCAAGGGCAGTGGGGCGGTGGCACGTGGGGACGCAGGGAACGAGGGGTGAGGGGCCACAGTGGGGGTGGGAGACGAGGGCCGACTCATTTACAGGCCGGAGAGGGCTGCCGAGATCATCCCCATGTTTTAAATTCCCTGGAGACTAGGAGGTCAAGTCACCTGTCTAAGGGCAGAACCCGGTTGGCCCCATAGTGTGAGCGACATCATTCTCTCCGAAGCGCCCGCCCCGTAAAGAAGAAAAGACCGAAGACAAGTAAGCCATTGTTACAGCATATCGCTCTTTCTCCTTCTCCCCAAGCTCCAAATAAAGGATGTGAAAGCGAACTTCTGGAAAACAACTTCTATGTAAATTGGAAATTCCCAGTCTGCCTCTGGAGCAGTGTCTGGCAGTTTATCCCCTGCTCACACCGATAACGGAGCCTTTCTCACTGTCTGGGGAAGCTCCTGAGATTGTGACACTGGAAGACATCAGTGCTTTCAGAATAAGCATGTTGCTGGTTTCTATATTCCCTTTCATTTCTTTTTTTATTGATTTTTTTTACAGAGAGGAAGGGGGAGAGAGAGAGAGAGCTAGAAATGTCGATGAGAAAG